CTGCTGGGCGGCGATCAAACGGGCAGGGCAGCGCTTTTCAAGAGCGGAGATAGCTACTAGACGAATCATGTCATTTTTTCTTATTTTGTCGTAAGTTATGCTATTACTCCATTCATTTATACTAGCACATAATGTATATTCAGCGCTCCCTGAACGCAGTCTCTGGCTTTTTGCCAGTCAAGCGCAAGCACGCAGGGACGCGTCCAGAGAATAACGACTCTGATCTGATCATATAGTCTTTCCGAGTCACAGGGCTCAAGTCTCGAGTCATTGCTGTCAAAGTCTAAGTCGAGTCTCAAGTCTTCTTTAATTATGTCAAGTCGAGTCGCAAGTCATCAAATTTGGGACTCGAGTCCGAGTCAAGTCTCGAGTCATTGCTGTCAAAGTCTAAGTCGAGTCTCAAGTCTTCTTTAATTATGTCAAGTCGAGTCGCAAGTCATCAAATTTGGGACTCGAGTCCGAGTCAAGTCTCGAGTCATGTGACTCGAGTCCACACCCCTGCTATTTTGCATAATGAGAATAAACAGTATGCAAATAGTATTTCACGATTTTTTTTTTTGTTTAAATTTGAGTTCGGAAAGTAAAAAGTGATCACATTTTCAGAAGTCTGGAAAATGTGACATTATAATGATGGATGTAACTGTGGAATTAAAAAAGTGCAAAAAAGTGCACGTATTACGGAGACAAACTAATTATTTTGTTCTCTAATGAACAATATATATTATTAAGATCTCATGAGCACAGCAGCGATGTCTCTTTACACATGACCTTTGACCTCTCTCTGTCCCGTGGAATGTGTCCTCTGAACAGTTGGAGGCAAAAAAAAAAAGGGAAATCAAAAAATCTTGCTGATATAACAATATCAAGAGAAATATTCAACGACTATTAATTCTGACACAATGGTTCAGCCCTGGATCAGTTCACACCAAATCTGCGGTCACATTTACCATTGTTTGACAAGAATCTAGCCATTTTAATAAGAATCCACAGAATCAGGAATTTTACGAAAGATTTCTGACGTGAACTGGGTTCACGCTGGTCACATGACTTTGCTTTGTTGACCAAAAGAAAGCTGCTTGGTTTGAAAGTGACTTATGTTTGAGCTGTGCTTCATATACCACTACTCTACTGATAATTCAGTAGATGATGGATCTTTTCGCCTGCGATATTTCACTAAAATTGAGCTAATGTGACCACCCTTGTGGCAGAGTTATGAATTGCACGAAAGAGTATGTGTGTTTGTGGCATACAAAACTTCTTATCTTACTGCTACTATTTCTTGAATAGGAATGTTACCTTAATAATTTCCAGCAAAATTTTGCTTATAGTTGTTTGGCAAATACATCTTTTGCATCTAAAATTGTCACCGTTTAATTCATAATTACACTGTGTGGTGTTTGGTAAAAACAAATTAACATCAATATAAATATACATGAATAGTCATCAGATTGGGCCTACTGATTATTCAAAATGACGATTAAATGAGAACGCATTTGAGAACCCAACAAACGCTGGTTGTATAGTAAGAGCTCATAAAAGTGCAATGACACAGAGCTTTGTGGAATGCTCTCGGACGCGCGGAGGTTAGCCGATAGCAATTAATTGCATGCAGAGGTTTCCACAACTGAGAAAAAAACCCTGATCGTTCTGTGCTGGGTAAGATTCCAGCAGAGCCAGCATGCAGCTGTTAATTTCATTGCTGAATACTGAAATACTGAATCTGGAGGAATAAATGTTCTGGAAGAGAATTCACTTATGACGCCAGGTGAGTAACTGGATGATCCCTGTTGGGGGAGGAGGTAAACCAACCGTATTTACAGACAAACTCTGACACTGTGTGTGTGTGCACCTCAACATGAAGTCATTAATCTTGCTGTCGAAACGTGAGGCAATAGAGATCAGCGCAGGTTTCACTGACAACCTCACTGTCCATCTGTTCACGCAATGCTAATGTGCACCATCAATCAAACAATGGAGGACAAGCCTCATTAAAATATTCAAATGAGATGATAATTGACTGTACGGAAACAAAACTTCACATACATTCATTCATTTGGAAGATACTTATCCAATGTATAGTAGATTCATTTTCAAATGAATCTGTTTTCTGGGAAACAGTTACATGACCTTCCTCATGGTCTACCAGTTGAGCTACATCAATATAGAAAATAACAAAAAAGACGTTATTTAACAATGTTGTGTTCTCATAGAGGTGTTTAAGCATGGACAGCGAATGCCAAACGTCATTCGGACACCCTTGAAAGTCGTTCTGATCAATGCAATGCCTTCATTAACGGCCCTTCATCGAATGCTGTGCAAGCAAAGGTCATTCAACGGAAGTAATTTCGCTATTTGTGACCATCTGATCCTGAATGGTCCTCGTCTTGTTTAGGACCACGCCTCCTAAAACCTTAGGGAGTTTATTCAAGACTCACTTGGAACTTCAAAACCCTCAACTGCTCTTAATGAACAATGGGAGATGGGGAAAACTAGTCGTATTTCTTTTTCCGCAAATTTTCTCTTAAATCTATGAAATCTATGCTCGACAAAGCATTTAATGGGTTCTTTAATAGTAACCCCACTAATGGAAACGGTATGAAGAAAATGTCACGCTTCTACAAATATCCCATATATATAACATTGCCTAAAAAATGACTGAGTGAGCCAGTCATCGGCTAACATCATTTTATGACAGCTTTGGGATTTTGGAAATCACCCAATGTACTGCAAGGAGAGAAAGGACGTGAATATTGATTTAAAATGTTCAGACTGAGGATTTCTCTGCAGCAGACTGATGGACTTGCATGAGCTCTGATGTTGCTCTCATCACGAGAGGCTGCGTCATTCTCTTTAAGGTCATCGCTGCTTATTAAAGCCAAGAAACAGCCACTCTGACATTTTCTGCTCCAAGACAAAAAGGCAAGCCCTTTATTCGCTGTTATTATCATATTTATGTTGGATTGAGAACATTTGATCTACCTGACTGACAGTCTCTCTCTCTGTCTATCTAGGAAAATGCTAAAACATGTCAGCAGTGTGATAAAAATGGTGGCAACGTGCTAACAGTGCCATGGAACAAGCTAAAACATACTAGTAACATGAAAAAACACGATAATGACAGGCTAACAATGCATAGGAACTAGTGGTTCAACGGATCACAAATCTCACGGTTCGGATCACATTACGGTTTCTGACCCACGGATCGGATCATTTTTCGGATCAGCAAGAAAAGAAAAATATTTCAATTTAACTTGCTTTCCATTTATTACTTAAAGCGAAGTACTTCTTTGATACCACAGCAAATACTACTAGATTAACTAAGAAAGTTTAAACATGATTAAAGACACAAGAGAACAGCCAGCAAAAAGATAAATACAACAGGATATGTTACAAATAAAATAAGGTTGGTAGTATTCAAATACAGAAATGTAATAATTAGGGAAAATAACACTGCATAGTGTTCACAGTATAAATTAAATATAGATTTTTATCACAGCTGTTTTGTTGTTTGATGATCATTAATGACAGCAGCAGTATTTATAGGCCGCTGTCCCTTAAGACCTGATGCACGGATCCGATATAATGATGTTCGCGCGCCGTCTGAAACACGTGTGCGCGCTTCATGTGTGTGCGGCTGTGCGCGTAGAGAATAGCGCGCGAGTAACGAATCGAGTTCCCTTTCGCCTATTCTCTCTGGAATTGTTTAAAATGCGCTTGCTTGTGTAAATACGAACAAATTATAAACTTATACTCTATTGTGGTTACATTTTGCAATTAATCCGCGGGTCACATGTGTGCCGAACCGTGGGGCTTGGTCCGTACGGATCACGGATCAACTACGATCCGTTTAACCACTAATAGGAACATTAAACAAGCTAGCGACATGCTAACAATGCCTAAGTGCATATTATAAAATGGATAGTTCCGGTCCTTGATTCTGATTGGTTGAGCCAAGTTCAAAGCTGTTGTAAATTACTCTACAAACATACACCTTTGTTTACGTCTGTGTGTTGCTCGGCAACCACTTTGTTGGAACCACAACCGTTTCTGAGGAACTACTCCGTTTCGCGTCGTGCCTAACGACGCCCCTTAGCTGTTAGAAATTCACTGTAAATCACAGCTTCTTGGGGCTTATTGCTTTATTAAACATGCTAAAGATGTTAGCAACATGCTAACACTGCCTAGGAACATATTAAACATGCTAGCAACTTGCTAAAATATTTTACCAGCATGCTAACAATGCCTATAAACATGCTAAACGTGTTAGCAACATGCTACAATGCCTAGGAAAATGCGGTTAAGAGCACAAACATGCTAGCAACATGTTAGCAACATGCTAACAATTCCTAGGAACATGCTAAACATGCTAACAATGCATGTTTCTGAGTGAAGTGTTGTAATTTTACTACTTTCAGTAGTAAATTTTACTACTGACATCAAAACGTAATGTCCATGTTTGTTTCAATTGTTCCATATGTTTACTACATTTTGTTTAAATGATGAATTATTAAATACAGTTATTGTCGTGTCTACAAAGATACTGAGAACAAAAATCTCACAACAAATGTGAGTTTCAAAACCCAGATTTCTAATGCGCTTGTATGTATCTTAAAATACAGGGTGAAAGTCAAAAAACGTGCGAAGAACACGTCACAAAACATGTATTTGCTCAAAGAAAATGAGACATTTTTAACATGATTAAGATTTCACATTGCGAAATAACATAAAACCGTCTCAAGACACTGAGGTCTCACCTTTTGTAGACTTGTGGGGTTGAGCTGTGTTTTATCAATGATCTTCACCGCTACCTGAAAAACAAATATAGTGTTACAGTGAAATGTGTATATTTATAGATTCCTATAAATAGCCTATACATCTGAATATCTAAAGGCTACGGGGCATCTGCATCATCATCCCTCCCCGCGTCAGAGCAAAACGGCTCCATTTCTTACATAATCTGGAGTTTCTCTTGGTCCTGCAAGCGTGTTTTGATGTACAGGCTGTTAAATAATGCATGCCGTTTCCAGCACTAGCTAAGTGTCTTTATTTTAAAACTCAAAATAATCTCTTCCGCTTCCCTGAACTAAGAGTCAAGGGTTAAACAGGATAAATGCATAATGCGATATGCTTTCTGAGTTATGTTTGTAAATGGAAACGCACAGTCTGTACAACTTTCACACCGATTTCTTTGTCTTTGAATCTACGTCCATTCCTAAGGACTGCAGTGTTATTATTTGAATGTTTTACTTTTAAAATAATCACAATGTGTATCTATGAAAAATGAAGGGTCAAGACAATTTCAAATGCTGGAATTCTTCAATTCTCCAAATATGACAATGTAGTAAAAGTGTTAGCATTATTACTGTATATATTAGTGCTTTCAAACGATTAATCGCGATTAATCGCATCCAAAATAAAAGTTTTTGTTTACATAATATATATGTGTGTGTACTGTGTACATTTATTATGTATATATAAATACACACACATAAAGTATATATTTTGAAAATATTTACATGTATCTATATGTATATGTATATATTTATAGCGATTAATCGCGATTAATCGTTTGACAGCACTAGTATATATAACAATAAATATGTATCTGCTCACCTCTCTTCCTGTTAAAACATGGCGGGCAAGTTTGACTTTAGCAAAGTTCCCTTTGCCGATGGTTTTGAGAAGTCTGTAGTTCCCGACGTGAGGCTGTTCGTCTGTGATGGACGCCACTGAGTTGCGGCAGCGCGGGAGACTCTGTCGACTCGCTGATTTCGTGGGTGGTGCTGGTGTGTCCGTGTAGCCATCGACAGACGTGTGCTGAGAGACGAAAGGAAAGGGTGGTCAATTCAAACTACACGTAAACAAAAACAAAATCTTGCATTGTAACAAGATTTCCAAAAATTATGACATTTAAAAAAAATTTAATAAAAAAATGCACTCACTCAAACTTTCTATACTCCTATAAGATCCTAATTAATTTTCAAAACTACAAAAAAAGTGTTGATTTAATTAAACTATTATTAAAAAAAATAACATTGACATATGATATTTGAAATTATTTAAATAACATCTCATTTCAAATGTGGATTTCATGCCATCATATCAACACTACTGTCTTTGTGTTATTACTGGATTTCAGATTTTGCTGAGAAGTAAATCAAATATTTTATTTTGATTTGATTACTTTTTGTCTACAAAAACTGCATTACAAGTTACACAACCTCAAAACAACAAGAAAAAACACTGAAGCAACAAGTTGGACCGTAACAGGGCAGACTGCGTTCGCTTTTAAATGGTGTGTGAGTAATACCTACTTGTTTAAAAACAGATATAAAGTAAAATGTGTGCCAAACAAAAATGTGTAATATAATAAAAAAGTTTTTTTTTTCTTTTTAAACATTCTATTAGAATTACATTCTGGTGTAACTTGTACTTGTTCTCTCAGAACGCATTCTTCTATTCCAATGCGCTACTTTTCAATTGCTTTTCTATGTAAACAGGCGCCAGACGGACGTGTATGTCAATTGCATTCGCTTCTTGTATCTTTTGCAGCATCTTGCACATGAATGCTGTGATTTTAAGTTAAAAGAATATCAACTTTTACACGCAGCGCCGCTCAACAATGTCAATTCCAAAACAGTGGACCAATCAGAAGACCCCAGAGGCATGGAATTCATCCCCTTTAAAGAATAACATCACACTATCATCCATTAAAGCAGAACGTTTGTAACAAACTCATCACCTTCAACAAAAAAATAAGAGAATTACAGTGAAACGTTTAAATTGTAGGAATCCGTACACATTCAGATGTGTTTGGCTGTTATTCTGTCCCTATTTTTTTCAGCATCTCACGGCATGAGCATTTTTTTGAAAGATAACACATCACGTTAAAAGAAACGTTTAAATTGTAGGAATCCGTACACATTCAGATGTGTTTGGCTGTTATTCTGTCCCTATTTTTTTCAGCATCTCACGGCATGAGCATTTTTTTTGAAAGATAACACATCACGTTAAAAAGGGTTTAACTTTTAAAAGTTTGTCAAGACCCCTGCATTCTGTTTCACTCAGTCCGGCTGTTTCTGAACACACTCACACTCACACACACACACACACACACACACACACACACACACAC